CGCCGGCTCCTGCAGCCATGGGAGCGCAGGGCCAGGTAAACACCGCCCCTCCCGCCGCCCGGCCCCTCCCTGGCGCCGCCGGGAACTCGCAGCCCCAAGTTCCGCGCGCGGGGTTCCCTCCGCAGCTGGCGCCCAGCGCCACAGGTAGTTCCCGGGGCGCGGAGAGGGAGGGCGGCCCCTGCGGCCCCGAGGAAAGAAGTGAGCTTCGTCGGGTAGGGAGAGGGGTGGAGTCTTGGTCTCCCGATCGGGCCTTGGTCTCCGCTAACGCGGTCAGACCTCACCCTGGCTGTCACTTTACATATTTTGTCTGGACTGGCACACGGCGCGTGCAGGTACTATTTATTGAGCACATTGCGTTTTAGGCCTGTTACCAGGTGCTTAGCAAACCTGTGCACTCCTTTCGGCAGAGTCTGGTTGTTAAGGGCGTTTTCTTTGGAGCCACATCACCTGAATTCGTTTCCCCAGCTCCACCACTAGCTGTGATCCCGGGCAAGTTGCTTAACCTCGGTGCTTTGGCTGCCTCGTCTGGAAAACGGGACCATAGTTATAATTCGAAGATTAAATGAGATGCTCTATGTGCAATGTACTTCTAATAATGCCTAACATATTTAGCAGGTGGGAAGGGTTTGTGACTTATTTCACCCTGGCAATAATTCTATAAGGTTTACCTATCACTCCCCCTTTCCCCCCCATGGTTTACAGCAGGGGAGGAAAATGAAGCCGAGGAGAACTTTGTTAAGGATATGTAAATATGGTTAACAGTACCAAGCTGTGCTTTTAAAACTGGTGAAGAGGGTGAATTCTGCATTATGTGTATTTTGCCACAATTAAGGAAAAAAGAGATTTTCCACACAAAATCCATAAGGTGATTTGCCCTATACTCTGAATACAGCGATTGAACTGCTTCCAGCGGGGTTCCGCTTTTGCCTGGAATCCCTGACTTTTTGGGGTTGTGTAGTGGGGTAGCAGTGGCCTGCCCTGGAAACTTCCTTCTGATGGACTTGGCACCAGAACATTGAGTGGGTCCCGTTGTTGGGGGCAGCCCAGTGCTGTTTTTCCTTTCTCTTCATGGTGTTGGTATTTCCATCTCTCTGTTGTTTACAGGTAAACTCCATGACTATTTTGGAGTGACTGCTTCTGAGTGACACGCAGTTGGGAGCAGTGAGAGTGGTCACTGTGTTTGCCTCAGAGATTGCATTCTTTCTCAGGGGTTGGAAGCACATGCCTCTTCAAGAGCATCCCTGTCCATTATGATGGGAAACGAAGTCATTTATTCAGTAGCACGCACAGGTGCTTTCTCCGTTTTTCTTTTTTTTTTTAATTTTGTTTTATTGCTTAAAGTATTACAAAGAGTATTACATATGTCTCCTTT